ACATAAACAACATTCAATTGAAATTTTATATGTTCATTTCAACATACAGATGAATGATGATGCTGATTAAACATGGAGTATTTAGAAAGAGGTGCTTTTTATTTTCAGAATATTGTCAAGGTGAGATTTGCCCTCCATTTTCCTTCCCGCTGTGTACCTCACGTAATCAACGTATTTGATGTTCCTGTACATTCGAGGCCGATGATCATCCACCGCACACTCCATAGGACCTATCTCCAGTTCATCGTATGGAATCGTAATGGTTGCGAGTGAAACTCTTGCTTGGCTCTCATTTGTGATTGCCCTGTGCTCAATGCTTTTGTACGTCCCATTGCTCAGAATCTGCAGAAACAAAACGCAGCAAAGCCTTTAAGGTGAAGTAGATTTAGGCCTTAAGATATCGAAAGAATTGAACTGTGAGTACCTCCACAACATCGCCAACGTTCACCACGATAGCGTTACGAATCGGTTTAACTAGAATCCATTCGTGTTTATGCCGGATTTGGAGGCCGGGAACCTCATCATCTTGCAAGAGTAATGTTATGATATCTGGATCAGAGTGAGGATTAAGACCGAGAACAAGATCAGGCCTTGAGCACGGTGGATAATGGTTCATTCGCATGGCTTGTTTCGTCTTGCCGTAAAACCTTTTCAGACCGTCTTTGTCCATGCCCAAAAGTAATGATTTGTTGGCACATATCTCCTCAGCTACCTTTTGAGCTTCTTTTGAGTACCTTTCTACAGCATCCCTGCCAAAGGGGAGTAAAATCTATTGTGAGGATTGCAATGAAATCACATATGAATCAATCAAACCTGAGGCTTGTTTTCAAGTCTGTGTATGCATAAACAGGCAAAAAGAAGGAATGCATACTTGAAACCTGGTATGGTGTCTGGCCAGTACTTTAGGTTCCTAATCTCAGGTGGGAGTGTAACTAAGAATACTAGGTCACACCAATCAAGTTTCTGCTCCTCCGAGATGACGCAGGATTGCCCGTATCCCTGGAAATCGTTTCCGGCCTGCGCGTACTTGTTCTTTTCTTCTAGTGGAAGTTCAAAGAAAGCTGCAATAGCTGCCTTCATGTTAAGCAGCACCTCTTCAACCACCCCATGGTTTATTATCTGCCACAAAACGGTATATATTTTCATCACAGAAATAGGAGTATACAAAACTGACAAGCTAGATTTACCTGAAAAAAACCCCACTCTTTGCAAGCAAGGTCTAGCTTTCCCGTTTCATCTTCATCTCCTTTAGCTAACAAGGCAAAATCTAGAATTGGAATGTCAAATGCAAACGGTGAGATATCAGGAACCACTGGCCTGTCTCCGGGCAGTTGCAAGTACCTTTCAGGAAGCGATTGAGGATAATTTCTCACCAGCTCTTGGACGCTTGGAACCTGCAGAAATTTACCCCAATCACTTCCTTTATCTTCCATTTGATCTTTTCCTCTTGTTTGCTTCCCCCTTGTACTGAGTTCAAATATATAGAAATTGACATGCTGCTTGTACTGAGTTAAATTTAGAAAAGTTTAGTTGTTGATGGAAAAGCTTTGGCACTTTGCACCGGGTTAGACTTTACCAATTTAATATTGAAATATAAACATCAATTGGATATCCATAGGCCTGCTAAAGATTTATTTTATTTTTTCTCAAATTTTCATGGCATTTAGTTGGACTTCGTATCAATATTGGAAAATGTATAATAAAAGTATAAAAGAGATATTTTATTTAAAACTGATAAAAATTGTTAAAATAATTATATGATCCAATTGTTTAATCAAAATTAAAATTTTAGGAAATTATTTATTTATTAGTAAAAATAAAATAAAAATACATTTTTATTATCTTTTATTTTGAAAAAGCTTTGGCATTTTGAACGAGGTTTGACTTTACAAATTTATTAATTTAATATTAAAACTTCAATTTGATATGCATAGGCGGCAAAGGATTTTCCCCCCTCAAATTTCTATGTCGTCATTTAGTGGGACTTCGTATCAATTGGAAAGATTAATTACTGAAAAATATATATTTAAAATATAAAAGAAATATTTTATTTAAAACTAATAAGACTTATCAAAATAATTATATGATCAAATTGATTAACCTAATTAAAATTTTAGGAAATCAAATATATATCAGTACAAATAAAATAAAATTATCATCACAATATTGTAAATATATTTTTTATTTTCTTTTCTTTTGGTTTGTGTATTTTATTAAGTTGTAAGTTAAGTATCATCAAACTCCGTCATACATTTTAAAGACTATATATTAGAATAGAAAATAAATATTTTATTTAAAATATTATGTTTAAAAATTAAAATTATTTGACATAAGTTAATTGAGTTATGCCGACAGTTAGTTTTCTCTTCTAGTTTGGATGGAGAGTTACGATAAGTGATTTAACGATGATTGATTAGTGATTTTGATGATGAAGAGAAGGAGGATTCTTAAATGAAGTGAGTGAATATATTGATCTTTTATGTGTGTTGGTGTGAGATCTAGAATTATGATTATTATTGTCCTTAGACCAACATGACGAATAAATACAACCATCAATCAGTAGATTTAAGTCTTGTCAGGTCTTTTGAGTTTATCGATAATCTTGTCAAAAATAAATAAATGACTAGAGGGATCAATTTTTGAGTCCAAAAGTGTAGCGTTTGACTCTGGATGTACAATATCGTTGTTGTTATAGTTGTGTTAAATGTTTGATCTTGTTTATGTTAAATGTCGTGATTTGTGAGAAATTGTCATCGAATTTGGAACCAATAGCAATAACATCACAAAAGCATGACCCAGCATGGCCAAATGTTTAAGAATGGTGAAAAGGTACAATTGAAGTGTATATATTGTGGCAAAAACTTCAAAGGAGGTGGGATTCATAGGATTGAGGAATATTTGGCTGGTCATAAGGGTAATGCTGCTATTTGTTTATACGTCCGATGTTCATGTTTTAATGCAAGAAAGTTTAGATGGGGTTGTAGTAAAGAAGAAGAAAAAACAGAACATTGCGGAGGAGATATGAACATTGAACACATTTGCTGATCAAGTTGATGCTAATACTGCTCTGCTTATGATTGAAAAACCCTATACAGTTGAGCCTAGTAGATCCTTGAAGATTTTGTGAAAGTTGAGTGGATTAATACAATAATTGAGCAAGCTAGATCTATTACAAGGTTCATCTATAAACATAGTATGGTTTTGAATATGGTAAGAAGGTATTCTTCGGAAATGATATTGTTGAACCGGCAGCCACTCAGTCAGCCAGATCTAGATCTACTGGAATATTATTGATCACTGGTGGGAACAACAATGGCATCATCCTCTTCATGCTGCTGGTTTCTACCTTAACCCCAGCTTCTTTTTTAGCATGGAAGGAGACATGCCTAATGAGATGTTGTCAGGGATGCTTGATTGCATAGAGAAATTGGTTCCTGATGTAACAGTTCAAGATAGAAACAGACAACTAGTGTAAATTAATGTAATATCCAGTGACTAGGTTTATAGGAACTGCTCTACCATCCTGCTAAAAAACAGTAGAAACATCAGAGAAAATTAAATTTTAGACAGGATTTGACAGTATATTAAAATCGTTTCACGGTTAGAACATGTAGAAAGATGTCATTTGGCTGATATATTATCTTGGATATCACTTATCATGGATTTGGAGGTGTGGTAACATGAATTCTTGCTAGCATTTGAATCAAGACTTACATTATAACTGCTCTTCTATCATCATAATTATGCTAAGGGGCGAACTTATAAAATTTTAAGGAGAAGCGTATTTATAAAAGTTTGGGGGGACAAAAACAGATTTTTAATAAGAAATACAATATATATATATATATATATATATATATATAAAACAATATAAAATTTTTAGGGACTACACCTTAGTTCATCTCTGACTGTATCTTTCGATCCTGTCTTACGAAGCAAAGTTGTGAGTGTAAATGCCTAAATGGAGGATGTATTGTTTCCTGTTGGAATGAATGGAAAATTGTAAAGGCCATTCCCATGATTTTGATTACAACTTTACAAGAAATGCCATGAATCATGCTCAAGTTGCAGGCCTTGTCCAAACAGATTAATGCTGATATTAGTAGTTCATGAGGTTGAGAGTTTAACCACTCGGCTAACATTTTCCGTCGGTTCCATTATAAAAGCAAAGACACTTTGCTTCAATTACAATAATATATAAAATTTGGAGTTTGATTGTATGAGAATATATAATTTCCGTGATTACATAATACACCGATATTCTAGAAATATTCTCACATATCTTGACCAAATCCGGGGTTACGCATGGAAAGGAATCATTTCTTGGCCAGTTCTGGCAACGCAATGTCATTCAGACAAAGATATGAACAACCGCTTACTTATGTCATCCAACTACGCCATTCGAAGAACTAATTATTTAGCTTTGCTCTTGTACAATATTATCCAGAGAGAAAAAGTAAGTATTTGGAAGGATCGTATTAAGAAATAATCTTAATTAAGGTCTAAGTGTCCCTTTAATCTATATTTAAACTCGAACAAAAGTCTTAGCAAAGTATTTAAGATGGAAAACCTATTAGTTCTGTGAACAATCCATCAAATACGTTAAGGAGAGAAGGCTTAATTGTCCCTTGTAATTGGGATCAAAAACTTTAAGAATACAAATTATTGGTCTTACCCACCTTTCTTCTTGGATGGTTGTTCAAGCATTTAGTAGAACAAAATGTTTTTTTGTGATATTTTTATGATTCATGTAATAAAAAGCATATTTTTGTTTGGTACTACGTTGTTTGAAGAATATTGTCATAACTTTTCTCAAATCATCTGACTTCAAAAGTTAAATAAGCAACCAACAAGAATTTTTCAGATTTAGACTTTATCCCTTTCCTCTTTGATTCTCAAAGTGGTTTTCTGTCTGCATCCGACCCTCAATTCTTATATATAAACCTATTCCCCAACTCATTTTTTTCCACTTCAAACTCAATCTGTCAAAAAAAAAAAAGATGGAACAGGCTTCATCTTGGATGTTGATGAGGAGGAGAATGTTTTTTCAGTCCCATTTTCAAGTGTCAATGAATAGTTTAAGTGAGAGTTGGGAAGAAAAATCATTTGCAGAAGATGCAGCTAGGTCTTTAGGGGGATGCGTATGGCCTCCCAGATCATATACTTGTAGTTTTTGCAAGAGAGAATTCAAGTCAGCTCAGGCTCTGGGTGGTCATATGAATGTTCATAGAAGAGATAGAGCTAAGCTCAAACAATCTCATAGCCCCAACAATGATGCTGTATTTCATCAAAATCAAAATCCCAATCCTCTAATCTCACCTGACCCTATATTCCCACATCGCCCTCATAGTTCTGATCTTACCCTTTCACCTTTATCTGCTCCTTGTTCCATTGTTGGAGGAGAACATGAAAGGCAGCTATTTAGGTCAGATTCCACTACAAAAACAACTCTCAGCAATGTTATTTCAACTTCTTATGATGATGATGATGATGATGATGTGGAAATCAATTACAAAAGAAGAAAGATTGCTGTTCCAACGCTGCCGTTTTTAGTTGTCGGAATAGCAGGCTCCTTGGAGGAGTTGGATCTTGAGCTCAGGCTTGGTGTTGAACCAAAGTTGAAGTAAATATATGTGAAATGGATCAAAGGGATTGCAAGTGAATGCAACTGCTCTTGGCTCGGACAACTCAATACATTATCAATGCTTGCTTCATTATGCTGTTGATTGATCAGATAGTTCACGACTCAGCTAACATTTTCTGTTGGTTACATTAATCTAATATAAAATGAACGTCACGTGCTTCACCTTCAATTATATAATATATAAAATGTGTGTTTCTATTCTATGCATGGGAATATATTAATGGTAGAATGAAGACGGGGAAAATTTCCTTCTACACCAACAAGTTGAAGAAGGAAGACACTTAAGGAATTAATGATCTATTTTAAGGTTTAAGCTCTTTAAAACTATACAAATGTTGACCAAATCTGGGAATCTTGGCAAGTTATGGTAACGTAATTCATTTCAGACAAAGATACGAACGAAATAATTAAGGAACCTTCAACAGCTTACTTATGTCATCCGACTAACCCTACGTACGCTATTCGAACCGCTAATTAATTAGTTTTGCCCTTATACAATATTATCCAAAGGAGAAAAGCAAGTGTTCGGAAGGATCGTATAGATTGATGTAAGAAATAATCTTAATTAAGGTATTAATAACTCTCCAAGTGTCTCTTTAATAACTAATTAATTTTTTTGCCCTTTCGATTCCCAAGATTTTGTTTGACTAACTTAGACCGACTCGGGTTACACACCTGATTGTGGTAGGTGAATCTCCCAACTTCAAGACCTGAAATGTTTGTTTGTTTTGGCTCAAGACTTGAAAAAATGGTAGATCCAACTTCTAAGTTTACCCAGAAGAGAGGATTTCAAAAAACACCAAGTTGGGGTTCTCACTTCTCCATCGTCGGTGGACGACGGCCACCACCAATGTATGGTGGTCAACATGATGGAGAACGTCTGGGTTTCAGTTTTCGGAGACATGTTCTTTGAACAAAGTACTAATTTTGAGGTGTGATGGAGGTACTCAAGTTTTTTAATATTTTCCACCAATAATTAATTCTGAATTCTATATTCATCATGATATTAGATATATATATTAAACTTGAAGATATTTGATTGTATTTAATTTAAAATGATTTAAACAACATCATTTCATTGAATTTTTTTAAGATTTAATAATTTTTAAATCACTATAAAACGGTTTCAACCATTATTATTTAATTACTTTAGTGATTGAATCTATCGAATGCGTTAACGGGTAGGCTTGTCAGGTCTTAATTTAGTGTTTGTTCTAGCATTCACTTTATATATGGAAAAATCTAACAGGGTATTTTTTATAATAGTTATGAAATACATTTTGGGATTAAACGGATAAAGTACATAAACTGTGTTTCTATTATAGAATATTATTTTATTGGATTTTTTAATTATTAAAAAATATAAAAATATTTCTTTGATTATAAGATATTATTTTTTTAATCTCCTATTATTAAAAGTAAAAAAAAATGATCATTCGACTATTTACATGTTTAACTTTTTTTTTTCTGTTTAAAAATTGACGATTATCTAAGCTGCACATTAATTTGTTAATTGATATATGATACAATTTGATCTTAGAATCGTTTGAGTTGTATTTATAAATAGATATTATGTTATTAAGTCAGTGTTTGAAATATTACGTCTCAAGTTAGTGCTTGAAAGTAACAGTAGTGTCAATAACAGTAGTGTCAATAGACATCACTAAAATATAATTTTATCATATCTCAATCAAAAATTTTACGTCCAACTCAAATGAGGGTTTTTTTTAAAAAAAAATGATGAATTTAAAATATATAATTTATTAAATAACAATTTTATAATTTTTAATAAATAAAAAAATAAAAAAAAAATAATTTTTAATTGAATGATCATTTGTTTACTTTATCCAACTTTAAAATGTTGATATACAAAAAAAAAATGGATTAAGCAAGTAAGGGGGGGGGGTGGGGGGAAGATGAGGGGAAAGTGGTATTCCGCCAGCAAGAAAGGAAGCTTTGGAAGCACGTCAATTAGACACATGGGTTAAGTGAAGTCTCAGATTTTGTGTGTGGAGGCGTAGCCCATCTTCACACCCCTTTATATTACGTGGACGTTTTCTTTGCATTGTTCGTTAAAGCAAAGAAACTATATGGATTCATTATGAGAAAATAACTTCAGTGAGATATATGATTTTAATCAAATTTTTTTGGATTCGTCAAAATGACCAACTAAATCGTAATGCGATCGATAATTCGTAACGCGATCTCCGGTATCGCAAATCAGTTTCCAGATTCGCAACGCGATTCTGACTATCGCATTGCGATTTCCCAAATTCGCAATTCGCGTTGGAATTTTCCTAATTCGCATTGCGATTTATGTAAATAGCAATACAAATTAGGAAAATCGTAATGCGAATATACAAATCGCAATGCGAATCTGACTATCGCAATGCGATTTACATAGCGCCATTCGTATTAACGCGTATTTTTTTTTTCAAATTCCAAACACGAATTTCTTAATATATCGGAAACTGAACCGTCCACAGTATATCCCGTAATCGCAACTCATAACCTAAAACCTAAAATCACAACTCAGCCTCATCTCCATCTCTCACTCTCTACGGCGAAATCCGTCCCCATCTCCGAATATTTCCGTCCCCATCGCCGGCGAAATCCCTCACAACCATTCACGGTCAGAAATCCCTCACAATCATTCAGAAATGGAAAATCAACCTCCGATGGTTAGTTTTTTAAATTATTTTTATTTTGAAATTTTTGCATTATTTTAGGTTTTTCATATTGAAATTGATGATAAGTTTACTGGTAATTTTAATAATAGATTAACCATTTCACTTAGATTTCTTATTAAATTCATTCGATTGCTGCCAATACTGCTAAATTGTTTAGTCTTTAACCCTGTGAAGTTAGTATCTATCTTTGTTTTGTCTTTTGGTTGAAGTAATGCAGAAGAAGAATAGTTTCTAAACTTAAAATTGCAACATGAAAATGAAAATCGCAACACGAAAATGACTATCGCAACGCGAAATGAAAATCGCAACGTGAAACCAAAATCGCATTGCGATTTTCATTTCGCGTTGCGATAATCATTTCCGCGTTGCGATTTTCATTTCAACCAAAAGACAAAACAGTGTTGCAAATTTTAGTTTCAAGAATAAACTACTATTTATGTTTATTGTTTTTTGTATATCTTCACAGTGTAGTTTTTGGTATATCTAACTTGGTATGTTTATTGTTTTTGTAGAAATTTTTTTCGGCTTCATTGACATTAAGGAATAAAGTTAGCCTAGCTACTACAATTGCTTCGAAGCTTTCACCTGCACAAAGAAAATTGTTTGAGGAAACCTGCTTCGGGCCATGGCTGAGAGTACAGTATCCGGGTGGAGATGCTAATTTGACCCATTTGTGGCTTCAGACCATGACTAGCGATCTACCCGACAGTATACAACGTGGTGAGGAAGAGATATGGTTTCATTTTCCACCGGCGTATACTTGTTTTGAGCGGAAGGAGTTCTGCTTAATCACTGGTCTACGATTCGGACACGGTGATGTAGGCCGGTACACTCGTCATATCACCCGCCCATCATGGTTATCCAGGGTTTTTCCTGATGAGTCAATAGAGAAGCCGAACTTACACGTCGACGACCTGAAGAAATTGTTTAATAAGAAAGATGGTTTTACTCGGATGAATGACGTCGATGTTGTCCGAGTATGCCTTCTACTACTTTTGTATGCCGTCTTTTTAGGCAGAGAGGCCAGACAACCTATTCCTCAGGAGCTAATATTATTGGTAGAGGACCTAAATGCATGGAATCTATTTCTGTGGGGTTCGTATATATGGAAAGCTACCTGGACTAAGTTGTCGTCTGCCTTTGATGACCGCAAAAGTTTGCGTGGCGATGGGTCGAAATACACTTTGTCAGGCTTTGTTTGGGCTTTAAGGTAAGAATTTCTATATAATGTTTTCAAAAATTATAATTAATTATTTAACAATTACTAATGTTTGTTATTATATTGTTTGTAGATTTGGATATTCGAGGCTTTCCCCAGCATGCGGACATATGCATTAAAAACCTCAAATGATATTCCTAGGGCTATTTCCTGGAAGAAGAAACGTCTGTTGGATTGGGAAGACTTAATACCATATGCGACAATAAATAATGTAAGTTAACACAAATACTATCATATATAAACAAGTTATTAATAGTATACGTTTAACTTTGTTTGAGTTTTTATATTTTTAAGAGGCCAACACTCCATTAATGAGACTGACACCCACGGAGGCTGAGCTTGCCACTGATTGGTGGCAAGCTAGTCAGCGTTTTCTTGATGGCACGAATGATGAGCAGCCTCCACTTCCTCCACTTCGAGAGTCATCACCTCACCCAGAGCCATCACCTGATCGACTCGATTATACACCTCTACAACGAGAGCCATCACCTATCCTGTCACATCATCGAGCATCTTCTCCACCATCACCTCATGATAGGCGACCGAAAAAGATGCCACGACTTCTATCTCCCTGTTCTCCACCTCCACGGGATGAGTCAAGGGAGTTACGTGATGAGGTCAATGCCTTGCGTGAGGAGATCGGTACTCTACGCGATAACGATGGTGCATGGCGTGTGGAGGTGTCTACTTTACGTGGTGAGGTTGCCGCTCTACGTGATATGGTAGTATCGTTGCAGAATGAGGTTCATACTCTACGCAACGAGGTAAGTTTAAGATTTTCCATATTTAACTTGATGATAAATTTACTCGTAATTTCACTTAGATTAACCATTTCACTTAGATTCCTTAGTAAATTTATTCGATTGCTGCCAATACTGCTAAACTGTTTATTAACAATGTGAAGTTAGTATTTGTCTTTTGGTTGAAGTAAATATATTCGGTTGCTGCCAATTCTGCTAAACTGTGTATTCTTTAACACTGTGAAGTTAGTATTTGTCTTTGTTTTGTCTTTTGGTTGAAAGTAAATTTGTTCGGTTGCTGTCAATTCTGCTAAACTGTGTATTCTTTAACACT